TGTCCCCCCGCCCCATCCCTGATGTCCCAGTGTGTCCCCAAATCCCAGTCTACCCCCATGTCCCAGTGCACCCCCACATCCAGGTACATCCCAAGCCCCAGTGCACCCCTTTTTCCCAGTGCAGCCTCACTTTCCACGTCCCCATGCATCTCGGCCCCCCATATCCCAGCACACCCCCTCCATGTCCCACTGCCCCCCTAAATGTCCCAGTGCCCCCCACATCTCAGTACAACCTTGTGTCCCAGTGTCCCCCCCATGTCCTGATGCCCCCCAAAATGTTCAGTCCATCTCATCATCCGTCCATACTGGGACCAGTCAGTGGACCCCAGGAGTGACAGGGCTGATTTGGGGTGCCTGGGATGCCCCACCAGGCCAGGCTTGCGGGGGGGGGTGTCCCCCAACCCCCCGGGGGGGGGGGGGGAGGTGACGTTACCTGCACAATGTCACGCTCGGCCACCTTGCCGCGGGAGGAGATACGAATGTCGTCACCGTCCAGCTCCACCATGGCTGGGGGGGAGAGCAAAGGGGGGGGTCAGCAGCGCCCGAGTCGCCCCACCCAAGGGTGGGCGCTCTTTAACCCCCCAAACCCAAACCCAGCAGCCCCCAAGCGCTGGCAGCTGCAGGCAGTCATGTGCAGGCAGGGGAACGGGGCTGATTCATCAGTGGCAATTACTGGGGGAGATTTAATTTGGCTTTGCTGCCTGCCCAGTGCCAGAGCAGCTGGCTGCCGGGGGGGGGCTGCCCATTCCCCCCCCCCAAACACACCTCGGGGGGCTCATTCAGCCCTAACGAAGGCCTCCACTCATAACCACACACATGCTGGCTAGCGGTGAATCCCGCTGAGCCCCAACAAATTCAACTCATATTTTCCCAACAGCCAAAGGCAGTTGTGGCCCCCCCCGACCCCCCCCCGCCCCGGGGACACAGGGGCTGCTGAGCAGGGGTGAGATGGGGACATCCATAGCCTTACCGTCAAACTCGGCCTGGCCGACCCCCACGATGATGATGGACATGGGGAGCTTGGCAGCCTGCAGCGGTGGGGGGGGAAGGCACAAAATTTAATGGTCCTGCTGCCGAATGCAGCCCCCTCCCCATCCCCGATATTAACCTCCCCAGCACCCACCAGGCCCTGGGGTGCAGCACCTTTACCGGGGGGGGGGGAAAAGGGGGGGGGGGGGAGCTGCCCGCCCC